TTTTTGGAGCAACCTGGGAAGACTTATACAATCTGATGAAAAGGGAAGTGAGCAGAACCAGGTGAGCATTGTACATACTAACAGCAACATTGTATGATCAATTGTGAATGTTTTAGCTATCCTCAGCAAAATAACGATCTAAGACAATTCCAAAGGATTTTTGATGAAAAAATGTTATCCATATCATCCATTGATTGGGAGACAGAGTTCCTTTGTAAGTTCCTCAGAGTTACAGAGTAAATGAGACAGATTCACCATCAACTGACCTGGAGAGAGAAAACTAATAGTCACATTCTCTAAGTGGATAATAGAGAAAGAATGTTTACTCTACCTGCCTGAGGAAGACCCTGGATGTGTAGGTGTGTATATGGGAGGTGAAGCATGGCAACTAGATAAAAAGCAAAAGATGTTTTAAGGAGCCATGAGGCATTCAAGCCTTTGGCATGAAAGCTAGAGCATATTGTAATCCTTCCATAGCCCTTGTGGTACCATCTCTTGGGGGAAGAGATGCTATGTAACGGGGAGAATAAATAAAAGAGACATGTGAGTGATGGAGTGTGTGTGGAAGAAGACACATGCTGCAAGGAGATAGGACTCATGATATCTGGCAGAAAGGAGGACAGCCTCCATGTGGTAAAGCTTCTATGTAAGAATTTTTAGAAGAGTAATGATACATGGAATCCCAGTATGAAAGAGCAAACCAGGAATCCTTTCCTCTTTCTGGAAGTATCAGCAAGGTAGTACTGTAAGTTATGGAGGACTTTACAAGTCTTTGATGGGATAGATGCTCCTCATCCATTCTGTATGAAACAAATCATAATTTTCTTTTTCAAGGCTTTCTATGAGCTGAGAAGTGAATATTTTCAGGCTCAAGTGAGTTCATTTAATAATGATTTCTTAACATGAAAACATTTAGTTTAATAATGATTTCTTAACATGAAAACATTTAGTTTTCACCACCAATGATATATATGTATATATGTGTGTGTGTGTATGTATGTATGTGTATATATATATATATATATACACATGTAAGTATATCGTGCCTGACTCTGTGATTCCATGTACTACCACAGCATGCCAGGCCCTTCTATCCTCCACTTCTGTCTTTTGAAGTCTGTCCAAGTTCATGTTTGTTGTTTCCATGATACTATCTATCTCATCCTCTGCCATCCCCTTTTCCTTCTACCTTCAATCTTTCCCAACATTAGGGTCTTTTCCAGTGAGTCCAGTGAGTCTCACTATGTGGCCTAAGTATTTAAGGTTCAGCTTCTGTATTTGACCTTCCAGTGAACACTCTACTGGGGTTTGGGACAGATATTATTAGGTAAACACAAGTTTTCTACAAAGTAAATTCAAGTCACTTTGTGAAGAGGGAATAGTACTAATTTTGTGATGAGCTTTGGAAAGGACTTGGGAGATAGCTGTGCTAAAGGCACATAGGAAGGTGATTGAAAGTTGCATATAGTGATCAGTAAGGAGGGGAGTTTGGTATGAAGTACACAGTGGAAACTATAGAAGTAGTCTTCAAAGGTAGATTGAAGCCAGTCTGTCAAACAGAGAGTTTGTATTTTTTTGGAAATGAAAGGGAGACTTTGAAGTCTCTTGAGCAGTATAACCCATTCTTAAGCAATATAAATTTGCCTGGATGGATGGATTGGAGAGAAGAGAATTGAGGAAGGGTATTGGGAGGCTATTGTGGTCCATATGAGAGATGATGAGGGTTTGAATTAGAGTGATGTCTCTGTGAATAGAGAGGAGAGTGATGTGATTTTAGAATAGGCAAGATCTGGCAAATGATGAATCCAGATAATGAAGGAGACCATCAAGGTTGAAAACCTGGATGACTGGAAGGGTGGCAGTATGTTTGACAGAAATAGAAAGGTTAGGAAGGGGAATAATGAATTCTGGATTGGATATGTTGTATTTGAGATTCCTATGGGCCATCCAGGTGAAGATGTTCACAGGACATTTGTGGTGCATGTCTTGACCCCAGGAGAGGACTGGATGTGTAGATTTGAGAGTCTTCTACACAGAGGTGATAATTGAGTCCATGGTAGCTGACAAGATCTCTGTAGGGGAAAAATAGTGAAGAGAGAAAAGAAAAGAGGACCAAGGACAGAACCCCAGGGTACAACAAACTTTAGAGTGATGGACACAGAATGTGTGTGTTCTTGGGGAAGATATTTATCTTACTCTCACTGAATGGAGTCTCTTGACAACTCTACCCCCGCCCCAACCCACTATGGCCTCAAATGTTAGTCCTTTCTGATTTTTGTCTATGGTTATATTTAGATACCTTGTGAGCCTGAGTGCTTATATAAGATATTTGGTTCCTACCCTTTGTTCCTATAACAAAAGATACTGAAAGTGAGCTCCCAGTGAGAAGTATAGAAGTCTATCCAAAATGTACCTCAGTATTAAGAGGGAGCCTCTAACACAAGGGTTATGTATTAGTGTGAATGGATACACATATTATCACAAATTGAAAGCTGGAAGGAACTTTAGAAATAATCAAGTTCAACCTCCTCTTTTTACAGATGAAGAAACCAAGGCAAAGAGGTTAAACAATTTGCCCAGGGTCACACAGCTATTAATTGTCTGAGGCAGGGTTTGAAATCAAGTATTCCTGACTCCAAGTTCAGTTATGTATCCACTATAGTCCAATCCTCTCACTTTACTAATGTGAAAACTGAGGCCCAGAGTTTAGGTAGCTTGCCTAAGGGCTACCAACTCACGGAGATGGGATTAAAACTCATGCTTTTTGATACCAAATACAATGTTTCCCGCCTACACCCCATTTAATATTCCATTACTAGCATAGCTCTGAGAGTAGGAGCAAAGATCTACCCAGTTATGGTGGAAACTGGATTGGGTCATCTGTAAAGATCTTCAGAAGAAACAGTGAGGATTCTAGTGGTGGTCATCCCTATGGTATTCTAGCTCACATTTATAAACTAATTTAAGGTTTAAAAAAGCAATTTACATGCATCTGATTTTTCTGTCCATATCAATCCTGTGAAGTAGGAAGTATTATTATCCCCATTTTACAAATGAACAAAGTGAGGCTCAGAGGGGATAAGTTACTTGTCCAGGGTGAGACAGCGTGTGTGTGTGTGTGTGTGTAGGGAGAACACGAATTTATTAAGCTTTCATCATATGTCAGATACTGTGCTAAGTGCCTTAAAAATATAATCTTATTTGATTCTCAAAACAATTCTGGGAGGTATGTGTTATTATTATTATTCCTATTTTATAGTTGAAGAAACTGAGGCAGACAGAGGTTAAGTGGCTGACTCAGGGTTACAGAGCTAGTAAGTGTCTGAAGCTGGACTGAACTCAGGTCTTCCTCACTCCAAGATCTGTGGTCTGTCCGTTGAACCACCTGTTTGTCTGCCTCTGAAGTCAGGGCAGAATCTGCTAGGCCAGACTGCCATTGCTGTGTTCTTCTATGTAACCTCTATGAGGAGAAGACCTGATTCTTATTTGCATCATTGGACTTAATAACTTTTATTTCAAATAGACATTTCGATTGAATAAAATTAGCATGTTTTATCAAAACGCTCTTTTTGAATCTATTTGGTTGTCAATGAGCCTATTTAGTTGAACTTTGTCATTGCTTCTATTGTGAGTATTGAATTATAGAGCTACACTCTATTTTTCTTATTGTAAAGGCACAGATTTAAAAAAAATATATTTGGCCTCAACTCCAAACTGAAATACTTTAATAAGGTTTCACAAATATCCAAAGATTTACAAGAGATAGTAGAGACAGCCATGAAGGAACCCAGGAAAATTTTGGTGAACTTCCTGTAATGATAGTGGTTGATCTAATAATAGATTGTAGGAGCTCTCTCGGGCCACAACTATATTTTGGGAAAAACAATGCCTGTTTCTCAGATTAATTTTAATTTAACAAGCACTTATTATGTATCCACTATTTGCAAGGCACTGCACTAGTAGCCAGATAGACAAATAGTCTATAGAAAGTAGCTGGATAATATATAGAATGAAATAATCCCTGCTCTCAAGGAGATTGCATTTCATTGCAAAGAAACAAATTGTGCCCATATAAGTAAATGAAATTATATGCAGAATAATGTCCTGGCACAAGTCTGATATTTTGCGTGGGGTACAGTAGAAGGGTAGGGAAGAGTGTGTGACAAGGACACAGGAGGTTTGAGACTGACCTAGATATCAGAGGAGTTAGCTCCCTTTTTCATGTAGCATTTTACTGTTAATAATAATAATTTAAAAACACTGAAAGACTTACAAATGATTATTAATACCTTTCTGATTTCCTAGATCTCAGTATTTTCATATGTTCTCTATGTTGTATCAGGAATAAATAACAACTAATTCTGTTTAGCACCTAATAGTTTTAGCACCTAATTTAGTACCCAATAGCCTGTTATGATATATAGGTGTGAATATTTATATTTGCTAAAACTAGTAGGTCTTTGAGCTGTAGTAGTAATGATAAAAGATATTCTTTTGAAAATGATATTTGCCAACATTAATTTCAATATGGCAGGCTGAGTCACAAATCAAATTCTGGGTGTTTCAGGACACCTTTTAGTGTTGCACTACTCAATAAAAATCCATCAACTCCTTTGAAATTTATTGCCATATATGAAATGCCCCATGACTGAGTTGAAACTATGACTTTACTTGCTCTATTTAATTAACTATGTGACAAGAGAAGTCTGACTCAACTGAATTATCTTTGTAAGTGAAAAGAGAAATGGTGGATGGCTCTCTGGGGTGAGTAGTCCATCAGAAATATTGTACAACTTCTGTATCTGTTCTCTTTAGAACTTGTATTTGAACTTTATCTCAGCAAGGACACAGACAGAGTGCTAGGTACTGATGTATTTGCAGGAATAGAATTGATCTAGTCTGCTTTTGTTTGATTTCTTCCCCTTCCTCACATTTTCCCCAGGTTGTTATGATACTGTGAAGCTAATTCTACCTTTTTTTTTCCATCGTTGCCTCCCCAGGCAAATGTGAATGTGGCCAGTGTACCTGCTACCCTCCAGGAGATAGCAGAGTTTATGGCAAGACCTGTGAATGTGATGATCGGAAGTGTGAAGACTTGGATGGGACAGTCTGTGGAGGTGTGTATTATCCATCCCCAAAAGGGAAATGGTTATTTTGCCTTATGTGTAACTTGTATTACTTGGAACAGCTAGTCAATACAGTGGATAGAGCATCAGACCTGGAGTCAAATTTGAGTTCAATTCCATTATTAGACACTTACCAGCTATATGACCCTGGACAAGTCACTTGACCATTTTTTGCCTTAGTTTCTTCACTTGTAAAATGCAGATAATAATTGCACCTACTTGTCAGGGATGTTATGAAGATCAAATGAGATAATAGTTGTAAAGTGCTTAGTACAGTGCCGGCACAGAGTAAGCTCTATGTAAATGTTAGCTAATATTATTACTTGGTTAGCTGGCATTATCATAATCTCATAGCTTTGTCCTGTAGCTAGTGTTATGAAAGCTAATTTATATCTTCATTTGAACTGGAAGACATTATATACAAAATGTAGAACTCTAAACCCAACAGACAATAATATATTTTTTAAAGGATGTTATTTCTAAGTGTTCCTATTCCAAGAAAAACCTTTTGTCACTTGAAATAGAAGCAACTATAGGTGCAATAGAGAGCTGAATGTGGAGTCAGGAATATCTGAGTTCAAATATGATACTAGGTGTCTGACTCTGAGGAAATCACTTAACTTTTATCTGTCTCACTTCCCTCATCTCTGAAATGGATTTAATAACAATTTCCTTCCCAAGGTTTTTTCAAGGATATTTGAGATAATATTTGTAAAGCACTTTGCAAACCTAAGTGCATTATGTAAGTATTGGTATTAGTATTTCTTGGCCTTTTGTTGTAATATTACTCATTAACCCAGATGAATACTACAATACTTCACCCCTCCATCTCCCTGTGAGCATCTACTATTTCTGTCACACTCCAAATAAGCCCATAAAGTTTCGGTGATAAAAGCAGTTAGAGATCATTGAATACCTCTTAATCAGAATTTTAGAGATATCATTGGACAATTTATTCTAAAGCCCAGAGGACAAGTAAATAGGAGAGTATGAATTTAAACTATCTATGCAGAGAATCTATCAAATCACAAATGCCCAGATTTCCAGTTTTGGAAGTAATCTTAGAGGTTAGCTCTTCCAATCCATATTTCAACCAGATGGTCTCAAAGACAATCTCTAGTGCTAGGGACCCATTTTGGACAGGTAGGATGTTTTCTCTTATAGCAATACAGAGATCTGCCTCATTGGAGATTTCACCTATTACTCTTAGTCTTGTCCTTCAGAGCCAAAAATAATGTTTAATGCCTTTTGCACATGACTGCACTTCACTTAGTTAAAACAATACCATTGACCTTTCTGACAAATTCCCTTTTTCCAGGCTAAGCATCTCTACTTCTTTGACTAATTCTCATCTCTTGTTTCCTCACAGTCCTGGTCACTCTCTAGCTGACGTGCTCCAGTTTATCAATATTCTTACTAAAAATATGGTGTAAAAAGAGTAAAGAGGAGTGAAAAAAGAACTATTTTCAAGCATTTTGGACACTGGAAATCTATTGACATACCCTGCAACCATGTTAGCTTCTGCTGTAGCCTATTGTTGACTCATATTGGGTTTGCAGTCCAGTAAAATCCCTAGATGATTATCTCATGGAACATAATCTAGTTATGCCTCCTTTCTCCTAAACTTATGTCTGATTATTTGAATCTCAGTGCAGGACTCTCCCTGCCTCCCATTTCCTTTTCAATTTTATTTTATTCGCCAATGATTCCATAGGTATATCTTAGGTTATCAAGGTATTCTCTTCATAATGATGATTGAATAAACATGAAAGTAGGGACTAGCCATTGGTTATGTAACATTAGCGCATGGAGTAAGAAAGCTCAATTTTTGGTGGAATAGTCATTGAGCTGGTATAGAGAATAATTATAAGAATGAGAAGGGAAAAAAAAAAGAAGAGAGTGACTGATTCAGTGAGGCCTGAGTGAAGGAACTGAAAAGACTGGAGTCTCAGAGATTACATAAGGGAATGAATCAGCAAGTTTGTGCCCAGGAGATTAGAAGCCCCAGAAGTGTGTGCATGAGTATAGAGGAGGAAAAAGAACATTCATTTTGATAGAGCATTGAGAGAAAGTGTGATAGGCTCTGTGTGAAGGTGGGTCTGAATGTCCTCTCATTCGGTGGTGCAAGTGTGAGAGCAATCATGAGAGAGCTCAGTGAGAGCTTGTATATCTGATTGGCCCACTTCTGAGCCCTTCTAGTCTCTGTACAAGCAAATTCAAATGAAATCAGTAGCAAGAGTGTGGCTTCCAGTGAATAGCAAAAAAGGCCCCAACAGCAATTAATCTAGGTATGTACTGTCTACGGCTTTTATATTGTGGTTAAATGCCTTGCTCAAAGTCACACAACTAGTAAGGGCATGAAGCAGCCTTCAAACCCAGATTTTCCTACTATGTCCAGCATTACACTGCCTCTATGTAATATGGCTATCATTCTACAGTGTTCTCTCTAATGCCCTTAGGATTACCCTTAATGTTGATGCTTTGGGATTGTGGTGTTTCATGACTCACAATCGTGTGAAAAAAATGGGATTTTATAACAGGGTTTCTTCACCATAACTTTATTAATATTCTGGCACTGATGAAACCTGGCTTCCTCTGGAAGAAACTGTATTCTTGTCTCTCCTCTCTAGCATTGGGTGTTTATTCTGGACCAAGAGAGGGAGTAGACATATTCTTCCGTACTATCGTATAGCAGTATCTCCTCACCTGAGCTTCACTCCATTCACCTAAGTTACCTAGTCTAGGTTCGTGGTGAAAACATGTACTAACTGCTAGGTCTTTCTCAAGTCAATCAATCAAAAAGCATTTGCTTGTTTGCTATTTGTCATATGCTATGCTGGGAATACAAATGCAAAAATGAAATAATTCTTTCCCTCAAGAAGGCTGAGAGGGAAGTATAATATACTTATAGATAAGCAAATACAGAATTAATACAAAATAAATACAGAGTAATTAGTATTTAAGTAATACTAATATTAACCATTATTGGCAGAGTAATTAGTAATTAACAACTGGAGAATCAGAAAAGGCCTTTTGAAGGAGGTGGCACGTGATCTGAGCAATGAAAGAAACTAGATGTTTCCAAAGAGTGAAACAAGAGGGTGTTCCAGGAATGGGAGGCAGAGGAAAAGCTATGTAAAGGGTTGGAGGTAGAGATGCAAGGTAGTGTAGATTAGTCTGTCCCTACTCAGAGTTATTGGGCTGGAAAGAGAGGTTAGAGTCAGACTTTGATCTCCCCAAAAGTAAATCAGTGTATTTGGAAGGGGTGGGGCAAGCATTAACAATTGGGCAAATGGGACAATGAAACAAAATGACAGAGTAGGCAATTTGGAGGATGGCATGGAATAGCTGATATAGCCTTAGCAAGTCCCTGGGTAAATAGCAAATGGATTGTGACTCCTTAAGTCTCTCAGTAGGAAGAATGAGAGAGGTGGTAAAAGAGAGAGAATGAAGCTATGTTCATGAAAGGAGAGGAACACAAAGCAGTCCTAATGAAGAGCACTACCATGTGGGAAGAGATGTATACTGGTAATGAGAGATGAAGAAGATGCTGACGAATGGGTTTCATTTCGGGGAAATTGGTGTATTGAGAAACTACTTTCTTTGAAAGAATATTTTGGACAATATCCTGGCTCAGGAGAAGGGACAGATGAACTACTTGGAAGAGCAAAGACCATGGGACAGTGGGTCTATTAATTTGTTTTTCTTTTTTTAAGTAAATTTGTGTTGATATTTTTCATTTTACATTTCCTACCTTTCCAAATGTATTCCTCCCCTTCCAGAAAGGTATTCTTTTTTTTTTTAATAAGGAAGAAAGAGGGAGGAAAAAAGGTTCAGCAAAATTAGACAACACAAAAAGGTATGACATTATCTGAGTGTTCCCTACTACCCATTATCCCCATCTCTGCAAAGAAAGCTTAGGGGAATTGCTTCCACATATTTCTTCTTTGGGACCAAGCTTGGTTGCTGTGATTTCACAGCATTCAGTTGTAGTCATTCTGTTGTTGTTTTTATGTTGTAGTCATTATGAATATGGTATTTCTGCTTTTCCTTACTTCACTTGGCATCATTTCATGGAAGTCTTCTCATGCTTCTCTGCAATCATTATATTCATCATTTCTCACTGCACAAATAATATTCCATACATTCATATACTATAACTTGTTTACAAAATCCCCAACCTGTAGGCATCAGCTTTTTTCCTAGTTTTTCACACTATAAAAAAGCTTTCTTTGGGAGTATATTAAACAGGGCTAACTCTGTTCTCATAATTTCAAGTTGTTTTCCAGAGTAGTTGGGCCAGTTTATATCTCTGCCAATAATGCTTTAATGTGCTCATCTTCCCACAAGCCTTCTATAATTTGTCATTCTCAATTTTTGTGAATTTTATCAATTTGGGAGTTAGAACCTCTGAATTCTTTTGATGTGCATTTTCTTATTAGTGGTGATTTGGTGCACTTTTTCATATTGTTAATAGTTCTCAATTCTTTTGAGAACTTGTCATATCCTTTGATCGGGTATCTATTGGAGAATGGCTTTTGGCCTTATATACCTTTTATCTAAAGGCTGCTTTAATGCATGGCATTATATAAACCTAGACTATTATCAGAAGAAATCTTGGATTTCCTTTATGTCTAAACTGTTCCCTGTAACAGAGAGTTCCCTGTAAAAGAGAGTAGAAGAGATGAGCACATTCACTAAAATAAACATTTGAATTATTTTCCCCAAAGGATGAGAGGGAGAGAATTAAGATACCTGACAAGGCAAGACAATTGTAAAGATGAATCGAAGTCCCCAGACCTATTTTTTTTTCCCTTTCTTATTATAATGGACAACTTCAGAATTGTTGTTCTGTCCTAGAAAATGTAAGATTTTCTATTATAGATCAGTGTGAATATTATGGGATATAGCACAGCTGCATCTGTACCTTCCTATAAATTCCTTTATAATTATAGTCCCCTTCTTTAGCACTTTGAATGGCTGGTCTCTCA